GCGGTGAGTGACTGTCGATGAAAGGGTGGATCACTTACTACAACATCCAACGAAAACGGTGGTGGTCGAAACGCAGTGAGCTGGCGGAAACGCTGGTCAGGCCCGTAATGACGGCCAGGAATGTGTGTATTTTGTGGGTTCAGCAGGGAATTATCTACTATGAAATGCTTGCATAGGACAAAACTCTTAACTCGAAACTGAACTGTCAACAATTGGACCGTTTGAAGTAAGCAATGGCCCAGAAGCGGCCAGGGTTGGTCAATTGTAGAGGAATTGTTGTCCATCAAGAAAGCGCCAGACCACGCACATCGATAATCACTAGCCAGAAGCTCCGTGAACTTGGTTTGGTAGGTTCTTATGCATCCACCTTATAGTCCTGATCTGGCATCAAGTTATTACCATCTGTTTTTGTCCATGGTGAGCAAACAGATGACCGCCTTTGGCCAAATCAAATTCGTGTCAACTCCGAAGCGTAGAACCGGCTGGCTGGTCGGTCTGGATAGGTATTAGTTTACTCACCTCAATATACCCAATATAGAGAGTAGCTAATCATCTCTTTATATGCCCCCTGAAAGCGAAGCGACGGGGTTGGATCCCCCTTCCTCTGGTCGGATCCCGTTGAAACAACACGTTTTCTGGTCCTTCCGTGAGATGACTTGGGTTGGTTAACCTGTTCCTAAGCGTTATTAGCGAACCGCTAAAACAATAACAACAACAAAAGATAGAGTCAAAGAGAATCCTTATATTACCCGTACACACATAGAAAAGTCTGTTGATTAAAGATATGGTCTACGTTCCAAGATTTTTCACTTTCCTAACATAACTTTGCTATGCTGTTGTTATTGTAGTCTCAAATATATTTCTAAAAGTAGTTTTTGAGGAGTGTTGCGAGAGTAACAGTTCTTGGGCGGATAATATTTCTGGTCCGATCAGAAACATTAAGATTTTAATCGTTTGTTATGACAGGCATTCCTTACCGCGGGAAAGTTCTTGAAGCCTCAACCAGAGGAGAATCTTTTGCGATGCTATCTCGTTGCGGCAAAAGTTAATCTCAAAAAATAAAAAAATTAAGCCTTGCTTTGCATTAAATCTCCGGGAATGAGACCATAAATGCAACTCTTGCCTTTCATAAAGTAAGCTGATTGGAGTATTCAACAACCAGGATACTGTTGGACGATCAAAACCGTACTAATAACTTCAGTAAGCTAACTTAAAGACGTTCAAAACGGTTGCACAACCATTACATATCAGCTGCCATTTCTGAGAGAGAACTCTTGGAAGTCTTTTAAGACTTAACTTATGATTGCAGTCTTTTTAAAATTAAATGTCGGGCAGTCATGAAGGCTGAAAAGCATTTTGAAATCGAGTCCCCCAAATAAGGACATCTTCATCTTTGGAACTGTCAGTTAATAATAAAAGCACATAGTTCGCATACGGAAAACTCAAAAATCATACTGGACTGTCACAGAACTTTTCAAGAGATTAACTTACTAAGAGGGAACGATCTAGTGTATTTTCCTCTCAAAGAGCACATTAGCATTCCACATAGAACTGTATTCAAGGAGCTTATATATGAGCTGACGGCGTCAGAATTCAAGCAGGTTGTTATGTGGTGACAGTTAAATCAATCATGTCTGGAAATAGATCGAATTACGGGTAGATCGTGCGGGAGCCACTTTTCAAAGAGAGTATTGTAATAGAAGTTTTGAGAAGAGAGCTTGCATATATCAAATCACTGGTTGACTGTTATTGCTTACATCATACTCATATATTCATTTTCATTATAATCTGGTAGTATCAAGCTCTCTTATAATTTGGAATATCTCCCCATGAGTGCGTGTAAAAAAAAATCTCATAATATCGCTTGACATCTTCATATTTTATGTGCTTTCATCAGCGTCACACCAGCATAAAAGGGTAAAAATATTTGGCAATGATTTCACCGAATTTCAACTGAGTGCACTAAAAGCATTTCATTTATTTTTCGAAAGCATCCATTTGACATGCATTTCCTAACCGTCTACTTCCGTACCAATACAATGCCTCCTGATTCATTCATTATAATGCTCACTTGCATTACATGCATACCATGCATACTCCCGTAAGCAATTCCACTGAGCACTCACTACCGCCACACTCACTGCTGCCTAAATATTTTTTACTATTTTTTTTTGTTGTTTTATAAAATTTGTCGCTAAATGGCCATGGTTTGAAAAAGTGTATGCCATCAGATTTATGCTGACTGAGCGCAAGTGTGCCCAGCAGCAGCGGTGGCTGTTAGATGATCAGCCCAGTTAGAGCAGCTGCAACAACAGCACCAATAACGTTGAACTGTATTGTTGTAGAATTTGAGTATAATTTTTTACATCCTGTTATTCTAGCTTATTTCGTTATGGGCGCCAGTATGAATTTCACAGGCGGCACCAAAGTGATGCTATTTTTACACAAAAACACTCACAGAGACGCTTACTCTCGGGCGAACATTGTGCCACGATGGCTAAGCGAAAATGAGCGAAATGTGTTAAAAAGTGGCAATTTCAGCAGTGGCAGTGATTTCGGTACAACTTTCATGCTTAGCTGCCTTACTTGCCTACATACATATGTATGTACGATGGCCATGTGTCTGAGCTTCGACGGTCTTAGCTGAAAGCTAGCAAACTATGACTAGCAGCTGCGTTGTGTCGTTGAAAATTTTCGCTAAAGCGAAAATAAGTGATTTGCTTTTCTTTTTGTTTTTTTTTTTTTGTTTTTTTGAGCACTTCTACTGGCTTGCTGTCTGCTGCGCGGCTTGTCTTCTGGGTAATTTTTCATGCTGATTTGCTTTGGAAATCTTTGAGGAAAGTGAAATAAACACCAAGCAAGGACGAAATATTGGTTAGGGCTGAGCGAATGCTTGATGAGCAGCAGAAGAAGTTGTAGAAGCAGAAGCAAGTGAAACAGAAGCACTTTGGCGAAATATGATGTGCGGAAATTGAAGAAATTTCATAAGTAGATATGTATGTATGTATGTATGTATATAGATATGTAATATGCATGGACGCTAGGTGTTTCCGCTTGAAGTTTGTAGATGTTTATGCTACGTGATCCATGGCATTTTTCAACGCAGACATATTGCGTTTCACTTGCAAAGTAAATGGCAATAATAAATTTTTCACACCCGCCCAATAGCGTTTTATTCAGGGTAGACGCAGAACACTAAGAAAATCAACTCAACTTAAATTCAAAAAAAAAAAAGTTAATAAAATTAAATTAAAGAAAAGTACTTTGTGCAAAAAATAAAACATAAGGCCCTTCCGGTGCGGAAGTAATACGAAGAATAAATACTTAAATTAAAAAAAAAGTGTTATTAGTAACAAACTCTCTTAACTCAAAATTTCAACTTCCAAAAAGAATTATTTTATTTTAATATTTATAAGTTTTTATATTATTTCACTTTATTTTATTTTATTTTATTTTATTTTATTTTATTTTATTTTATTTTATTTTATTTTATTTTATTTTATTTTATTTTATTTTATTTTATTTTATTTTATTTTATTTTATTTTATTTTATTTTATTTTATTTTATTTTAGTTTATTTTATTTGTTCTATCAATTATTATTCGTATTTTATATTACCCAATTTTTTTTTTCATTTGAGAAAAAATAAGCCTAAAAGAGACAAAGCATGCCGTATAATTTCTCATTGTCACCTTTGCATTTGAAATACGGAGCACTTCCTGCAAGTTGCTAACAGTAAATCTTGTCGTTTCCGTTTTGAAAACCTTTAAATGCAAGGAGCTTACTGTTCGTGCCTCCTTTCTTTCCTTCATGCATTGTTTGTTCTAGCATTTTTCGGTTTGAAGCCAAATTGCGAGTTGTGTGGCAATTTGCATTCATTTGTCGGATGTGCACATTATGCTTCTATTTATTTGTTTCACTTGCACAATTTTTGGCCCAACCGCATAGTGTCTCAAAAGAGTTTCTTCTTTTGTTCTGGACATTAATGAGAATTTAATGGCATTTGGCACACAAAATACTAAAGAACATGCAAATGCCTAAAATTCAAAAATACTTTTTTTTATCGTTATTTTCGATTTGCCTGACCTACAAAGTGCATCGAGGCAAGATTGGCAGTTTTACATTTTTTACTTTAGGAAATATGAAGCTAGGGAAGAAGTAAAGAAGATTTAATAAAATTTTCTTCACTTGGTCAAATGAAGGGAGAAAAAGTGTGACCTTTACTTTGATACTTTCAGAAACTGCTTTGTGACTTATTTAGTAGAACTAACGATTCTGAGAGCTCTTAATAGATAGTCCGAATTGAATTTTGGAGCGTTTTCACTAATGAAGGAACCTGAAGACTTTTTATTTTTCGTTAGATACTCTTTTTCGTTCCCAAAACAACTTATAACTTAGACCTTCAGTCAGCTTTATTTATTTTGGTCCCTCTATTTTTTTTCTACGAGATTAAGTTATGTCTCTCTCTGCTATTACTTTCACTTTCGAACTCTACGGAATGTTGAACATGTGAACAAAATAATTTTTTGGTTCCTCGTTGAGCAAAATAATCGATGGATCTTGCTCCACATTTCTTTTGTTAAGTTACCAAAAAAACCTGATTGGATCTTAGGATTACCTCTGATGGCTTTGGTATTGAGTACAGGGCATATCAATCTCTCCGTGTGTATTTTTGGCATGAAAACCAAAAGCTTCTCATAAAAACCATTAACCATTCGGAGGCGGCTTGGTGTAAACTGTAGGTCCCTCCATTTGTTGGAAAAGCATCAAGACGCAAAACCACAAATTGGCTTAGGAGCTCTGCCGAAAGTTGCTTCAGCGATTATAAAGTACCAATTATATATGTATATATATTTATAAATACATTTTATGTTTGCGCCCAAATGTAGGCAATCAACTCCTTGTCGTGGAGTTCTTAACATGTTCATCATTTCTGGTACTTAAATAAACGTCACAAACTTTTGCTAGTAAAATATAAAATAAATTTTTATCTCTTTCAGATTCCAACAAACGGTTCGAGGGTATGTAAAGTGAATACTTCCTCGCCATACGGGCATACTTAAGCTCTCTGTGATGCCTTCAATCCGCGCAAAACTATTGAATTCAGCAACAGAGATTCGAGTGCCAACGACTGAGGCATATGACAAGCGATATTTACTGTAAATACCAAATCACTCAAGGCAATTGTTTCAGAAGATTTACCATACCAGAGGAGCGGGTACAAAGTGATTACTGGAAGCGGTAGCCCAAAGGCTGATGGTCGGCGACACAATGTCAAACAACCAATGCTCGTACAACCGACGACAACATAATCATTGCGAATGTCAAATAGTGGTATCAAATTGCACGCTGTGAATCACTGGCAGCAGTGTATAGCTGTTATTGCGAAGACGCGTAGGCTTTCCGCAGTTAAACGTTGCCCCGAGCAATCATAAGATAAAGCAACAAGGCAAAGCAATAACAAACACGTCCGACTATCAAAGGGCATCGATAGTGCCAACAGGAGCAATGAGCGCAACAGTGGCTAGCAGGATTTTCGAAATAACTGCTGCCGCAACAACAGCAACAATAACTACAAGAACGGCTGTGACCAAAGCAACGCCGTCGTTGTCATGGACACTGCTGCGTACGTCGATGGGTCTGACCGTAAATGGCGAATTGACAACAACAAACATGGATATGGCCACCACGAAGACACAGCAGTCAAAGCGGCTTGATGACCATACTTGCCGGCAGCAACATGATGATGAGCACAGCAACAGCAGGGCAAACGCACACATTGATATCCACGCAGCGCAAGCGCAAAGACTTTCGTGTAGAGATCAAAGGCAAATACAAGACCAACATGTAGGTCTACAAAATTCTTGCAGTATGCGTAAGCTGCAGGAGCAAAAACCAAAAGATTGCCGGTATTATCTATTGAAGCAGCAACAACAACAATGCTCATCAAAAGCCAAAGATGACGAAGGCGGCGGCGACGACACATTCTCGTCCACCTACTTGCGTTCCACATTCAAGCAGCAGCAACAGCAACAGCAACAACGATGGTTGCGCTTTTGCCTTGTGCTCGTCATTTGCCTGTCACTGCCCACTGCAACGAATACCAAACGTCAGACCTCAGCGATGCCAAGAACAACAGCAACAACACCAACTTATCTCACAGAATTACCAACAGCAACAAGGACATTAAGAGATACATTAACAACAACATTAGTAGCAACAAGACCAACATCAACTACATCAGCCCAGACAACACTCGGCACTTATCATACGAAAAAGCCGTCGGCAATTCAAAGTGATGACAACATCGTGACCAGCCAAAGCAGCAATTTCACGCACACCACAAACAACGCAATCAAAAACGTCATCATTCCTTCAGCCAAGACCAGCGTAAACTCAACGACCACATCAAAAGTCATTGCAGAGACAATGACCGTACGATGGATGAGGCGATCGAGCTCCGGCTCAAGCTTGTTCCCCGGCACGGGCGGTTTGACGGTGTCAACAACATTGCCAGCAGCGTTGAAAACATTCACATCATCATTGCTGACATCAGCAGAAATAACAGTGCCGTCAGTCGTCATGAATATAACACCAACAACAGCAACAACATCGGCAACAACAGAAGTGACAGCTAGCATTAGCAGTGGTGGGCAGAGAAATACGCAATCGGCATGGAATGCTCATTTAGTAAATGAATTGTTGCACGAAACACTCCCAACAAAACCAAAAGCAGCCGCAACTACAACAAGACACCAATATAGCAGCAACCACATGGCACACAATACGCCCAGTGGGAGTTATACGAGCAACAAGCATGAAAACCACATCGCCAGTGCAGCGAAAAACTTTGCTAGTTTGCATCGCAGTCGCGTGACACGTTCCCTCGGTATGAGTTTGAGCGGCAACAACAATGGCGGAAGTAGTTTTGGTGCCGTGAGCAAAGGCCTTGGTAGCGGTGGCGGCAGTGCTGTTGGCCTCACAGCGTCGCAGGATACTGATATTCAAAATAGCATAGAATGTCCTAGCTTCGATGAGAATTCAGCATGTCCTTGCTACAAATTCGAAGATGGTAAGTTTAAACACCTTTAATAAATATGTGCTTGAGTGTGTAGAAGGTGTGAATACTGAGGTTGTGGTGTTTGAGATAACGTGAACACCAATGAACGCTTTTCTCTCTAAGACTAATGTGGGACGGGAATGACTTGCAGACCTCAGTGAAGTGAAGCGTTGGACTTCAAGCATGACGCTATTATTGATCTTAATGATGGTTCCAAGTTAGACGAAGTTCTTTACGACTTCATAGGTATGACTGTCAACAATGAGATAGGAGCCCAGATATAAATACGCCGACTGCTTGTTTGATGACAGGAGAAATTTCGTCTCGTCCTAGTTCACTACCTGACTGACTCGCTTCGCTTCTCTGTCACAAATGGAGAGCGCTGAACTAATGGCATTGTTGTTTAAGTCTGCGGTATCAGTGGAACATTCTACCTGCATTGATTCTTTTCACTCGTTTTTTTATATCAAAACCTTCTCTCCAAGTGTTTTGAATAATTAAGTAATTTCGTTGTGCTTTTTCAATTTAATTTACATATATCAGCTGGACAATCAAACCGTGGGTAAGAGACTTGCCGAACCGAGATCTTCCGTGATCGGTCTTGAGATGAGGGCGTTCAGACTGTCACTGGTTTTCGTTCACCGGTCCATTGGATTTTTCTTTTATTTTTCAAACGCGCCTCTCGGTTAGTTAAGCGGGAGCTGGGTAATCCTTGGTACGGGTCATGAGTCTAAATCTACCATTTCTGTTCCATTTCTTCCATGCAACTTACTAAAGTTGTAACAAAAAAAACCTGAAAGGCAAATAAATTTAAAAAAAGCTTTCATTTCCTGAATGACAGTACAGTGGATATGTGTTCGAAATCAAAATCGCCATATTGCCGTTTTGAAATCAGTCAGATGCAGGTACGAGAATCGGATATATGAACCAAATTTATATACGCGAATTACTGCTGAATCGTAAGAAAGGGACCCATTTCTGAATAGCATGGTGACTGGCGATGACAAGGGGCTCACTTACGTTCGTGTTCGCAGGGCAGCAAACCGGCACAAACCGTCACCAAGCCAGTACTGACGGATAGTATGGTTTTGTGGTGTGTTTTGGTGGGATGGGCAAGAAATCATCCACTAGGAAGTGTTGCTCTAAGGCCAAACTCTTAACTTAGATCTGTATTGTCAGCAATTGGACCGTCTGAGGGAAGCATTCGCACAAAAATGCCCAGCTTTGGTAAATAGGAGGGGAATTGTGTAGCATCAGAACAACGTCAGACCACACACATTGGTGTTGACTCGCCAGTAGCTTCGAGAGCTTGGTTGGTAAGTTCTTACGCATCCTCCTTATGGACCTCGAATCAAGTGATTACCATCTGTTCCTGTCTATGGCGAATGATTTAGCCATATGATATTTGATATAAATTGGACAATTCTAGCTTAAAACCCCTTTAACTTAGTGCGAAAATAATGGACTACTTTTTACTAGACCTAATATTAATATTAATTTGGATCTTGCACCGAAACCCTAAACTTCTGAAGCTTCTTTTACTTCCACAGTAGGCTCCGTATCTAGACTTTTAAACTCTCTAATTTGTACAGCAGGAAAATTTAATCCCATTTAACGGGGAAAAAAAGCTCTTGCAGAATATGATTCAGGTAGATTCATTGCAGATTCAAAAAAAATTCTAAAATGTTCAATTATTATTGCGGGCTTACACGGAAAAATACTTCTAATCTCATTTCCGCAATCATTCTTCCTGAAAATCTAAGCGGCAAATTGTTGCAAAGAAAATTTTAAATAAATCTCCCTCCTTCCAGCGGACTGCCAGAAAAGTCATGCTGATGTCTTTATGGCTTAAGGACTACAAGGTTTATGAAATTTCCTCATTGTTGTCTTGCAATAATTTTTGGATATAATTAGTATATAAAAAAATACCATAAATTGCGAATTTTATTAAAATAATTTAAAGTTTTTGCTAAATGCGCCTAGATGACTTCCCAAATCCTTAGGGTTTGATTACTAGATTGTTAAACAAAAGTTCGAATATTTATTTTAAAATTCCTTAATTTTATTTTACAATTTGAACACTACTATTTTTACATAGCTTACTAACTATACAACTCCCAAAAGCACGCACAGTTTACTCCGCTGTACTCTACATTGATGGTTTGTCACCACCGAGCGTTGTAATTGACTAACGTCGCATTAGCTTATCTCCTTAATAACCCTTCAATTGCTCGTACTCAATTCTAAAAGTATCTGCATCTCCTTTTCAACTCTCATTTGTATTTCGCATACCCGCCAAAAAGCTAATGAAAATATTTAAAAGCGTAAACCAATAAGCTGTTTGAGTGAATGGTTCTAAATTTAACTGCCAAAATAAACTGCTATAGGGCATATTGCTGGATATTTTTCACTGAGTTCTCTTTGATTAAAGTTTCAGTAAATATCTTACTCTCTCAATTTCATTACTGGCTAGTTCTTATTAACGTTGCTCGCCAAAATAAGGATTAATATTTATATTAAAGGAACCTCTCCTTATTTTGGATAAAAAAAATCGATTTTCGAACGCAAAAAAATTAAACCCTTATTTTTGTAGAGTATGTGTTTAAAGGGTTTTCGCAACACGATGAATATTTTTCAAATGACTCCTTCTCGAGCAAATCTATCTCACGCACACTGCGAACTTTCAAAAAACTTCGAAACCATGTTTTCCGATCTAACTTCAAGCCCCGGGCTTGATTTATCCGTACTATTTCTTTTATATAAAGTCAAAGTTTATAGTTTTTTGTACGTCTTGCACCTAAGATCAGCAATAAAAATTAATTATTTATATTTTTTTAACGTGATTGATGTGAAAAAGTAGCAAAAACTTTAACTTTATAATTGCAATGAACAATAAAATTATCGTTAGAATTGTTTCAATTTAGTTCCAGAACGTAGACAATTTCATGATCTTTAAGTATTGACAACGATTTTTGATTTCAGTCTACTACAAGAAGCTGCAGACTTAAAGTTGTTGGGCCATGTTTTTCGCGAAGAGGCCGACGGCGCCATTTTATTACCGTCATTTTAAATTGCAACTATTTTTCTGCCGTTTTAAAATCTTAAATAATAAAGAAATTTAATTGTCAAATCCGAAAGTTCGTATGTCTTTTCATTCTTCCACAAAAAAAACACAAATTTTGCCTCATTTTCGGCAAATTTCAGTGAGGGGTCCCCTCAAAGAGTATCCGTTAAATATATACAATATATACATTTGTATGGAAAGTCAAATTAAATTTTGAAGTAAATTGAAAACAGGTGCAAATGGAACATAAAATATATTATATATTTATATTATTATAAAATATGTGCAAAAAAGAATTTAAAATTACATTTGTTAGTATATTTAAACCTAATTGCAAGCACAGTGGAATGTCTCTGTGCAATATTTGGGAACATCCACTAAATCAAATATTAGTTATTCTTAGAATTTATCTTTAATTCAAGTCATCTACTCGAGTCCCAAGGAAAAAAATAACAAGCAACCGATGCCGGACTGTACCATTTGATCTAATATGTGGCATGTGACACCATCTTTTCGTCGTCTTCTTCAATTGCCGTCCAGTCGGTTAATAACGCTCTGAATTGGCAGTGACAGTTTCGCTGCTATCATTATCAAAGAAGTGCGGTCCACACCAACGAACCAAAGAGCGCACCAAGCAGTAAGATTTTTTTTTTTTGGGTATATACACATTCGGGTCTTCGACTGCACTTTCACTTACATTGCGAACGTTTGAGGTGGAGCGAGCAAACAGTGACACACTGCAGGCTTTAAAATATCTGTAAGCGATCCAGTCTCCTAAAATTTCTTTGAAATTTCTTTAAAATTCAGCACCACTTGTTTGACTGGTTGAAGGATTATGTGCACCACAATCTTCTGTTAAAGCATGAAACTTGGAGACGCTTGGATCCCCATTTTTTGTAGCAGGTTTTAACAATTTCAACGCTTTGTGCGCTTATTAAGCTAACTATTTTTTTAAATGTCTGACTTTTAACATAAACGGAACATGTTTACTTTGATAGTTAATTTTGACAGATGTCATAATACCGAACTGTGTACTGGAAGACACGAACGAGATAACCCATCGCAACAATTTTGTTGGGATACCTTGATCACGACGTCACCTTTGGAATAAATTTTCAGTCCAAACATTTATATTAGGAGTAATCGCTTCGATTCCGTTCTGTCATTCTGATGGCCACGGCTCCAGTCCTGGTTCGTGGTTCGACCAGCATCTGAATTTACAGAAAATTAGTTTTGGTTATGGTGGTTTCATTACGATATGTGTGTTGAGTGTATTTCTGACATGAAAATCAAAAGTTCCCCATAAAAAAATCATCAGCCGTTCGACGGTGGCTTAGTATACATTGTAGTTCCTTTCATTTGTTGGCAAACCATCCATGCGAAAAATCACAAATTCGAGGGAAGCTCGGACAAAAATATCTTCAGCGGTAACCAAAGCGCCAGTTATATAAAGCTTTGCACAACAACAAAAATATAGAAAAAATATGCTACAATACGAAAAATATCCTATTGTTCCCAAAGATTACAATAAGCAAAAAAAGAAAAAATCAAACCGCGCCCGGTTGTTGTTAAAATTGAAGTGGCGAACGGAATTAATCTCGATCTCTGCCAAATTTTCCTTAGAATATTCCATTGACCAAAATATGCTCCAAATGTGAGCCATATCGGACTCTAAATTCAAAATTTGCGAATATACCGAGCGCTATGACTACTCTCTTGACGTTATTCTTGTCAGAATATTTTTTTTAATATACGGACCTCTGTGTCTACATATGAACTAAATCGTTCGAGTTGTTTCGTGGTTGGCTTTTTGTAATATTTTTTTTTGTTCTAAAAAAAAGATTTTGATATTCTTTTTAGAATTCATTTTCATTTTTTTTATTTAAAAAAATACCACTGTGCAGCACTGCGAAATATTTTGTTTATTGAAGGAGTATGAAAGTTGCTTTTCTTTAGCACGTTTTTGCGAGAGTAAAATCTTTTGCCGCTACGGCGGTACCCATTTGTATTTAGCAACAAGCCGAACGTGTCCTCCCACATGCCAACACAGGTCCGCCTATCCACATGTGTGCGCGTGTATGCTGCATGTAAAAGCGATGCTAATCCATATGAGTCGCACATATTGATAATTCCTTTTTCACACCTTTTGCTCGACATCTTTTACTTGTTTCCTATACAGTTTTGTTTTCATTTGCTTTTATATTAAATATGTGTGTATGTGTATTATTTTCTTTTTATTTTAATTTCAGGTTTATTTCTTGAGTGTCCCGGCACGACGGCCATGTCATTGCGCAGCACATTGGAACGCATCACATCGCCGATACATTCATTATCCATTTATGATTTCGATCGTTCGGTCACGTCGCTCTCGCAGGATGTCTTTCAACCAGGTGTCAATATAAGGCATTTGCAATTTTCACACTCACACCTGGAGACGTTGAAGGATAACAGTTTGCGGCATGTACGTGCTACATTGGAGTCGTTGAGCATTGTTAATGGAAAATTAACACAGGTATGTACTTGTATAACATATGTTTGATTGTTTCTATATGTATATGTATATGTATATGTATGGCTAAGTAAGTAGTAAAAATAACAAGAAAAACAGAGGAAGTATACAGAACATAAGTAAAAGAGTAAAACAGTAACGAACATGACAAGCTGAGGCAAGACAAGCAAACTGCTGAATCAGCCAAGCGTGTACCCGTATTTGCCATGTTTATATAATCTTCTATATATATATATGTACAATACATGCATTGTCGGCTTGTCCTTGATTGTAACGAAACATGTGGCAAATTTAGTTATGCAGCATATTTCAGTCAGCCAAATTCATCCCATCATGACGGTATGTTGATGATATGTAAACTTCGGCACAAGTGTAATTGCATTTAGATATGCAATATGTAAGTGTGTGCTTGTATGTGTGCATTATGTTTTTTTCTTGTCATGTACCGTTTGATAGTTAGTCTCACAGCTGTGTGCGTGCTCATGCCTTGTAATGGACAACAGTGTTTGTTTTGCAGGCTGAAATGAAGTGAATTCTGGCGCAACTGGATTACGAGTATATCGCCCCCACGAAATCACTTCAAGAACCAATTGGTCTGCTTTAGCTGCACTTATCTTGCTTCGACTACACACATACTATCATAGTATTTTACTCCTAGTTCTAGTTCTCATTTACACCTCTTTTGTTCCCTTTCGTGCTTGAGTTTGTCGGTTTCATGCAATTTGTCTACCTATCTGTTGGCCTACCTGCTAGTATCTGTTTGTTATTTTCTTCGACTTCACTGCTACTAAATACATACGTGTATATGTATTCATGTGTATATATGTATGCACGTGTCAGCAAATACTCAACCAAAATTACGCATTCATGCATATGTCGGTTGGTTTCTTGCGAAACGTACGTGCCACACTCGCACTTGCATTGGGTTTCTTCATTTGCTAACGGTATCATACCTATTTGCTATTATGTTTGCTTATGTGTGTTCTGATTGCAACAGTACATTTGTGTGGCAGGCACGTTTGCGCACATTTGCCAAATTGAAATATCCTTAAGGTGAATGTTTAATACAAAAAAAAAAACATAAAGAAAACATAAAAAAAAATAAAAAAATAAAAAAATTCAAAAAAAAAAAAAACAAAAAGGTCAACCCATTCAATTTCATTTGAGTTAATTTCAAAAACTAGAATTTTGTATCCAAATTGTGTGCTAATGAAGTGTTATTTGTGGGTTTAAAGTATTATGGAAATCGATTGCGGAGTGCCATGTGGTCCTTGCTATTTTAGATGAACTTGAAATTTTCTAAAAATTAATTTAGAAACCTTGGAAGTGTATGAGATGCCATTGACAGAGAGAAATCATAAGATATTCGTTGACTTTTTAATGTATTTACTATTATTTTTAACCTTGTTTTGAGTGCTGGAATTAAGTATCTAATTGGCGCTTTGTAACCGTCGACCTCCTCGTCCAATTTGTGATTTTGCGTCTTGATGTTTTTCCAACAAAAGGAGGGACCTATAGTTTATACTAAGCCAACTCCAAACAGCTGACGGTTTTTTACGAGGAGCTTTTGATTTTCATGTCAGAAATACACGCGGAAGGATTGAAATTCCCAGCCGAGGGGCGAACGCAAATAGAAAATTTAACTAAATTTTTATTTAAATTAATTTTCTTTAACTCTTAGATGTTGTTCGCATGGGAATTTGTGTTCAAATGGTCTTCCGAATGGCAATACCCAATGCTAGGCTCTCATCTACCGCGGCCGCCATTTGTTGGAATTAAGCAACTAATTTAAATTCCAGTCTAAAGTCTCAATTTCCAATGAAATCATTAACTTCGAAAACTACGAGTATATTTCTATCGCAAGAAGATCGAAACGAATTTCGAATTTCATGAAACTCTCTACATTCGCTACAGATCTGTGTCTCCATCCTTCAAAAATTCATTTGACGCAAATCTGACGCACATCGCAGAGAGGTTATTGAGCGGATTATTGAGTATCAGCAGTTGGATGCTAATTTTTCGAGCAAATTTATCGATTTATTTCCGATAATTTTGATGTTGCAGATTGTCGAAAATGTCGATACAATTATGAACATTGCCGAGTCCGACTATCATGGAAGTACTGTTCCGATCACCCAATATCTAAATATTGCACAAAACAGCGTTTGGAACCATTTGAATAAGGCTGAATACGAAAAGAAAAAAATTAAATCATTAAATTTTATACAAAAATAATGGATTAATCTTGACTACACCTCATACATACATACCTACTCTTCAACTTTAATCCAACAAAAGTAAACAGAAATTCTCTGCATCTACACATACCTATAAATGAAAAATACATAAAAATCCTGAAAAGCACCAAAGCACAACCTAATTAGCCATACAAACAAGGCAAAATGAGCTACAAAGAGTGAAGCGTAATGAAGGCGAAGTGAGAAATAAACAAAAAAAAAAAAAAAGAAAAGTAAAAACAGAGAAAATATGCCTGTAAACAGCCTAAGAAATATTGTTTTCTAAGTCATTAACTTTCAAATATACACATAAAACCACAAGCACAGCTAATAATTGTTGGCTCTTGGTGTCTACACTGAAGGCAAAACTCAGGGAAAATGAATGAAGCAAAAGCTAAGCAAGGCTAAATAAATTGGAGAAGGAAAAAACACTAAAAATCCAGTTATTTCAAAATCTACACAGCAGTTACTCCCTCAAACAGCAATGTTGTCTTTTTCTAATTTTTTAGTACAGCCTGTTTGCGTCCTAACATAATGCCAACAAGTCAAGTTTACTCCAGCCGAGATGTAGAAAAAAACATCGCTCAATAAAATAATTTACACTTCGACATGGTGAAGAGCAAAACAAAAGATATCTCCAGAAACAGTTATGCGCTCAAGCATAATAAAAATAGAATTACCAAATATTTGTTGGCTTACCACAAGAGCACACACACTTCCTTGCTGGCTACCAACCCGTTGGGAACACGGCATGTCGACACGAAGAAGCTTTAAATCAAGTCCAATTACGCGAATTTCCAGTTCATTTCCGATGTGGAATTGTTTGCGGCGGCGTTATGTACATACGTTTATGTATGTGTGTTGAGTGCGCCTTGTAGTCCCGCTTGAAATGAGGTTACGTATACGCCATGGTGGTGTAAAAAGAAAAAGCTACAAAAATGAATGAAAGAAAAATCTATTGTTATAAAATTAATAACCGACAGAAATGTATTGTCTTTTGAGTATATTAAAGTATTGTGATTCAAGTACAATGAATGTAATTTAAAAGTAGAATTGTAGATATACGGAGTGTGTTACCCTTAACTGTGGACAGCTTGTGCTTGAAGTTGCCATATCAAAAAAAAAGGTTTTCTTGTAGTAAGAAAGAGTGACAAAATAATTGAAATCCTTTTATTTGTCTCAAAAAATCTTTATACTGACAGATGTTTTTCTCGCCCTGACAGTGAGTTTTTAAAAAAAAAAAATATTATTTACTTAGCTGTGAATTAAGCGCTCTAACTTGTATCTATAAAAGTAAGAGCTATGGGAAAGTTAAAAAAACACTTACAATTCAAAAAAATGCATGAAATCTTTATTTGAATCAATAATACAATCCGTATTATTTAATGCTTGAAGATTATTTAATGGAAATGTTGACCGCGACTGCACCCCAAATGGTACATCCGCTCTTTCCAACATTTCGGCCCAAACCAAATATAAAATTTTCGGAGCTTCTGGCGAGTGACTCTAGTTGTGTGTGGTCTGGCGTTGTCACTGATGAAATACAATATAAACTCCCCACCCTTTTGGCCAAGTCAAAGCACTTCTGGGTGATTGCTTCTTTCAGATGGTCCATTTACTGGCAGTACAGGTCCGCATTAAGAATTTGACCATAGAAGAGCAGCACATAGTGATTGATTCCTTGCAATCCCAATAATTGCAAAACTCGCTTGAAGACCGTTCGTACCGGCTCACTGCTCATGTACCAATGGTTTTTTCATTTGACGTTGCTGTAAGTGAACCATTTTTCAGCATCACTCACCATTCGCTTCAGAAATGTGTCGATTTTGTTACGATTCATAAACGTATCCATTTTTTAATCGAAACTTCTGCAATTCCGGTTTCGAAGTTTAGCGCGTTATAGATCTCTAACGTCATATATTGCAAAAATGGATTCCTTTTTTCTAGACCAATATATACCACATGCATTGGCAGCCGCAATAGTCGAGTGATTCGCACCACGTACTGTCATTCTGAAGGCCAGTATTCAAGTGCTGCTTCGACCAATATACAAAATTTTAAATAATTAATTTTTCCAAATGCGATCGCACCTCGACTGGGAATATCAAGGCCTCCGTGTATATATCTGTTGTGAAATAAAAGCTTTATTGGCCTTTCAGAGGCAGCTTGGGATGAACTGTAGACCCCAACTTTTGTTAGAAAAACATCGAAATGCTAAACCACAAATTGGAGGAGGAGCACGACCGTAAAACGTCTCAGCGGTTATAAAGCGCGAAAAAATCTGGTTTTAACAAATAATTAGGAGCTGCTGTAGTCGAATAGCACTGCGCGCGACTATGCGAAGGGTTATGGGCTTGAGTCTCCAAAGCAAAATCTATCAAACTACAGTTCATTTTGTGGTCACCCCTCTGAGGGGAGTTACGTGCCCTGCAAGCAGATTTATTTTGGACATGAAAATCCATCAACCGTTGGGAGGGGAACGACATTACAACGTACACAACAAATTGAAGTAGGGACGCGACTGGAAATCACTTCAACGATTGTAAAACTCGAGTTATAAGTTTATCATTGTTAATTCGATTTTTTTTTTTCAACTGCCAACAGAGCAAAAATTAAGTTTAAATATACAATACATTTATTGTTGGAATTTTGAAAATTTCTAGAGAATTGTCTGTATTGTTTTTTGCGCTATATAAGCCAGCAACGACTTTTAGTAAAATATGTTAAACGTTTAAAAAATTATTTTATTATAAAATTTAAACAAAATCAAGAACGAAAAAATATGTGTGGCAAACACTTTCTCCTCTTTGGTAAGTGAAGCTGAGATGTTTTGTTTGAAATTTATTTTTTTCTATAGCTGAAGCTTTCCTTTAGCTTTCGTCTGCACGGCTCTACTGATCCAAGCATATCTTGTGATGTCGAAAAGCTACTCAGCGGATATTTCTCCACGTCACCTTAGACTTGTAAGACAAGGTTCACTACCAATACCACGGCCAGCTAGACAAGGATCTGTACCACCACCCAGAGTGTCTAGAGTTGGATGTGTATCACCACCTGCACCAGCTAAGCCCAAACAAAAAGGATCATATAGACAAGGCTCACGTCCGCCTACACGTCCAGCAAAGTAGTTTAAAACTAGTTTGCTTTTGACGCTTCGGTAACCATAAGTCGTTAGCTGTATAAGAGCTTTAAGCTAATCTTTCCTTGTCTGTTCAAAACATAAGTAAATATTTGAAGTAAAGTTTATAAAATTAAACAAAATGTTGCCTTGAGTGTCGAGGTTCGTGCCTCTGTGATTAAAAAAAATATGAGCTGCTAAAATCAGCTCACCCAAATTAGCTTTTCTTCGATTATTTTTGAAATGATTTTAAAAGATTTTTTAAAATGCGGTGCGCCGCAACTGTTCCACACGCACATAAAGATAAATCTTTATCTCATTATTGATTGGTTGCTTTCTTTTTATTATCTGCATTTAAAAAATGTCAATCCACAACGGCTTATTTAAATAAATAAAACAATAAAATTTTTACAATTAATTTTATTCTTTTGTTTTATATAAATTAAATAAATAAATATTTAAAAATAATATGTCATTATTGGTGGACATGGAAAATATAAGAAATTTTTTTGCTGAAAAATAAACTACGTCACCTCAATTATGTAGTATAAAACTCCGCTCCAACTGTATGGCAGTATCAGTTGATTTCGCTTAAACCAAGTAACCGGTTCGCATCAATATGCCCAGGAATTTATTTACATTTCGTAAGTCTCGCTCTGCACTTGTCCACCAGTGAATTATCACCCTAAATATATTTTATTTCAGTATTTGGAGCCACGCTATTGGTCGCCATATTTATGACGACTCATGCTCAGCCCGGCGACGAAACATTGCCAGCAACCACGCGCCCACCAGCTATAAGACCAAGTAAATCCACTATTAGACCCAGGCCACCAACCGGTCGTCCGAAACCGACTAGGAGACCGACGCCACCAAATAGACGAACAAAAGCGACCAGAACAACCACAACTTTGACAACACGGCGAAAAAAACCAACTCGTAGATCAACAATCAAACCGACAACCAGAAGACCAAAACCAGGTTGGTGGATAACACGTATACCACGTGCGGTAAAAACACCCAGACCGAAGAAATGTCCACGTAAGCCGAAAAAGTGTGGTTCCGCTGGGCCTTCACTGTGCGTACGCAGTCGTAATGGCAAGCAGTGCCGGCGTGTGGCGAATAAATGTGCCTTGAGGAATCTTAATTGCAATCCGAAGTCACGTAATAGTAAGTACAAATCAGTGTGAGATGAAGCTAAAAAATTTATGTTAATATTTTTTTTCCCCCCAACAGATTGGTCAGTTACAATACAAAAGCGTTGCGCCAAACTGCAAGTCGGTGGAAAAGCTGGAAAATGTAAAAATTAAATAAAAAGATTTGACGGTGAATTTTAAATTTAACAAAATATGTTGGTTGTTTTGGACTTTTTTAAAATGAAATAAAATAAATCTATTAAATTTTTTAAAAAGAGAATTTCTTAATTTTTATGTAGACACGATTCCTCTCTTATTTATTGGGCACTGTATGAAAATTGCAGGCCGCCATAGCGCAATGCTTTGCAGGGCGTACTGCCATTCTGAAGACCTAAAATTATAGAAAATACATTTTTCCATCTGTGGTCGTCCCGCAGGCTCTCCGAGAGTATACAACATAAAATTGAAGGTGAAGCTCGGCCGAAAATCTACTCAATGGTTAAAATGGACCAATTATATTTATTTTATATTTTATATTTTATTACACTAGATATGTAGACTGGGAACTTATTTTAATTATCTTTCTAAAATAATATGAGGTATGGAAATTATCAAGGCTTGGTGGTTCTGGGTACGGAAGATATATAAAAAAAAAGAATTCTACAAGCTTTTCATATGAAGAATCGGCAATCACTATGCGCAAAAAATAGAAGTGAATTTGTTTGTAAAATTAAAAATCTTTAGTTATTCTTCTACATCGATTTCGTCGCTTTCAAAATAGTCCCCTGCCCATGCAATGCACTTATGCCAACGCTTTTTCCAATTAACGAAGCAGATCAAATAGTCACGTTCTGGTATGGCCTTCAGAGAGCGCGCCGCTTCACATTTAATCTCCTCAACCGACTCAAAACGGTGTCCTCGAAGTGGTCTCCTGTGTTTTTGGAAGAGCCCGAAGTCACATGGTGCTAAGTCCGCCGAATACAGTGGTTGGGGAACGATATTCGCGGAATTTTTAGTGAAATAATCACGAAGAATGTGTGCTGTGTGCGACGGTGCATTATCGTGATGCAAAAACCACGAAGGCACTTTTGGTCGTTTAGCAAACACAAGCATAACTAAAATACCAATGATGAAATTGACAATGAAACATTAAAAAAAAATTAACCTGAAATATTAAACGCGTGAAGCTCAAATTAAAAATTCACCTTACTTTTCGCTCACAGAGTATTGCAAGCCACTTATATAACTTTTTAGGCCCTCAAAGCACAATTCGAATTACCGTCAACCAAATTGAGGGTCTTAAGTTGCACCGAGAATGGCAGAACTATCGATCATCTTAAGCCTAACTAAGTGTCAGAGTTGCTGTGAAAGTTATTGAAAAAACTCTCAAATCTGAAGAGAAGGCAAACTTAAAAGTAGCTGTCTCTAAATTGACTAAATCTCTTTCTGAAGAAGAAGAGGTAGAGTAATTTGCAAACTAGTACAGCAATGATTGATTTCCCTATCTCAACGCAGTCTCAGCAAGTTGACTAAGACAAGTTAGTACAACCTCATCTGAGGTAAACGTTATAATAAAATTCAGACGGTAATGCTAAGCTATGTTGCTTGATGTGGCTCGAGCATTCCACAATTTGTAGCATAAAGCACTCATACACAGAATTGGAATGCTTTTTTTATCGGACTCTCATTCACACCTTGCTAAGAGACTAAGAGACCGTTAAGGTAAGGGAATTTATCTCAGACTTGTATCGAATTGTGACTGAATTGTGACACTCAAGTGAAAGAGCAAAGGCACAATCACGTCACATTCAATTTTAGGGCAGAAGCAATTAGCAATTTTCCCAAAAGAGGTGTTGCTTGGATGTTCAAAAAAAAATTACATTTCTTGAGATAAATAATCGAACGTTTAATTCAATGTAAAGAGAAAGACATGCTATTCATAATGGAAAACAATATTAGTCAAATGCCGCCACGGTTAGACCTACAGACCAATATTCTTTTTATGATATTTTCCTTCACCAAATCGTAGAACGTCAGTTGTATGCCCTCAATTCTTCACGAATTCCATAATGGAGGTCTTGAATCGATGTTGGCCTGTTGATGTAGACCATATCTTTGAGGTGGCTCTAAAAGTAAGAAGTCGCAAGGCGTTAAGTCACAAGATCCCGACGGCGAATTGTGAACGCCTCTACGAGCGAGAGATAAAACGGCTCGGCGACTTATCCATTAAAAGATCGATGAATTCGCTGTTTGCGTGGCACGCTGCGCCGTCTTATTGAAGGAAACGTTGTCCAAATCAATACCATCCAATTCCGGCCATGAAAAGTCAATAATCAACTCTCGATAGCGTAATCTATACATTTTCGAAAAATTACATTCTAATAACCCCGCCGTACCATAAACCGCAACAAACAATTACACATTGAGGATGGAGGGACTTTTCAACAGTAAATTTCGAGGTTTCTGAAAACCAGATCCTCATTGACAGGGTCACCATTAGGTGGAAATGAAAGTCATCTGTCAAGATGACTTTTCGATAAAATTCCGGGTAATTTTCATGCATTTCAAGGACTCAATCAGTTATAGCACCGCGTTGTTGATGGCTAAAGTCCTTGTATTAACTGAACTCTATAAGCCTTCAGACCTTATTCTGTATGCAAAAGAACGTTTCTGGATATGGAAACATGGACATGGAATCTAGGGTTTCTTCAGCAGCATTATTCTCAGTTGTCCTTGAGCGACATGTATGTGTTTAATTCTTCACATCAGTAACCTGTTGCAACAGCCCCATTATTTCCACCAATTTCTGTTTTGCGACTCGGTGAAGTGCTTTCCGACAATCGAAAAATGTTTCAGTCTTACGAACCAATTTTTGCCAGATTTGCACCATTTTTCAAGTGAATTTCAATAATTTCAATGCATTGTTGAAATGATTATCGTACGAGTTCAATTAATGACGTAGTCCAATGTCAAAAAGGAAACAGCTTCAAAAGTGACATCTACAGGATTATCAGCATAACTCCTCGTATTGGAAAACCTTTTACAATAAGTTAGACTTAAAACAGTCAGCCTAAATTGGTTAATGGGTTAAGATTCGGTAGAGGGTTGTATGGCTTTTGAGCGTTTTGATCTGCGTTTTGAAATCATCATCGGTTAACCTCAGATATAGTTCTCAACTTGCCAACCAAATAAAGAGCAGAAGAATTACAACGAAATGTTAAATCTTCCAAGGCCCAGTTGGAATGGAAAGCTTTCGTTTCATCATTCTCACCATTAATTATCGATTCCATGTTTCGCGTGTCAATCATGAGCCTCGGAAATTATGTAGGAATAGAAGTATAGGTTGAGAAAGTGTCGAAATTATTCGTCTTCGAAGATGTATTTTAGAAATATGGGTAGGTAGCGCTAAATGTGCCAATTTGATAAGCTATCGTGAGCGTTATTCACAGGCATGAACACGACTCATTGCTTCATTCAAACCATTTAGTGTCCTCAACTACATACATACATCTATCCGATAGTATTTTTGTAGACAGACACTCGAACTTAGGTGCTTGTTGGAGCCCAATTTTTTGTGTTGAACTTGAGATAGAGCTGAATATTCAGAGAGTAAGTGTATTATCTTTACTTTACTACCTTCTAAATCGCAGCTTCAGCAAGAGCTTTTATAGGGTAAGCTTATTTATAATGCATGCTTTTCGAAGGTTAACCAATTAGAATGGCTGTAACACATATATACTTTGTACTCCTCCTCGACCTATTCAAAAAGGTACTTTGTGCTGATCAAATCATACCTAGGCCAGATCTGTGTCACTCTCATTCAGTTGTTATTGTCTCCACTTCAAATTCAGAACGAGATGATTTACGTTTCCCACAAGATCCTTATGACCGGAAACTCAGATTATGGTTATGGCAAATTGAACTGCCAGGGAGCTCAGAGCCATCTTGTAAAAGTTAACGATGCATTAATTCATAGCAAAATGCCGAAATATTGCTTGACAATCTCAACATATTCTTGCCTTCCATCTATGTATCTCCTCGTAATTATGTTTTAGCATTTTACAGGCCTATACAATACCCAGTACTTCGGCTTGAATGAGGAAAGTTGATTTTGGTAGACGTGACAAGAGTGAGATTTGAGATCTACGGAGTATACCGACGGCTCTACTACGCAGTCCATTTTAGACCGATCAATGTAGATTTAGATGGCAACCTACTCTCCTTTGAAACTTATCCACCACTCATGCCCATAGGGTTCTTACTATTTTTACCTGACATCAGTAAATCTCACATATGTACGTAACGTTCTACTAATCGCTTATAAGAAACGCAAAAATAAATTGTTTTAAAAGCGCGAGGATGTTTTACATTTATTTATTTTTTATTTTTTATCTGAGTGGGAAATATTTTTTGATAACAGTCCTTAGTAGTTTGTCTGAATTTGAAGATAATCCAAGCACGTATTTCAATAAAAGCTTCTTCATACATGTAGTAATATTTTGAAGCCACATTTACCAACTGCTGGTCCTGGTTCCGTTCTCTGATTGTGGTCACCCCTCCAAGTGTATTCCTAACATGAAATGAAAGCTCCTCATAAAAATCCAACTGCCGTTTGGAGGCACCTTATAACAAACTCTAGGCCCTTCATTTGCTAGAAAAAAGCAAGTCACAAGCCAAAAAATGGAAGAGGAGCTCGGCCGAAAATCGCTTTAAGGTGAAAATATATAACTCCGCCGGTAGGGATACCACGTCCTTAGGTAATTATTATTCACAGAGTTACAACCTGACATCGTCTTTTTAGAACTTATCCAGTCTAGTTTTTTCTCTCTTTGATTCCTTGACTTACTGCTTAAATTCTGCAAAATAAATTATTTAATTTAATTTAAGCAAACAAAATTAATTTTTGGAATAATTTTTTTAAATTCAAACTCCTAACTAAACCCAAAAACTATTAAAATTTCTTCCAAAGGGTAGCTGATATTATCTTCATTTTAACTGATCCGCAGTTTAAAAAAAATGTATGCCTGAATATAATTAAAAGAAAAATTAAATAAAAAAATCACTGTCTGGCTAAAGATAGATTCGCTTTTATCAACAGCATTGTCCCAAAAATAAAAAGGTCTTCCAGACAGTCTATTCACTAGATTCTTTGATTATTTCGTTAACAATTGAACACATGTTCAATCAGAAATCTCTGCTCGACTATATAACGACGATCGATTCAACCAACAGATATCAGTCGAGTTCCATATTCCCAGTCAAATAATAAGGAGTTCAACAAATTGGTAGAATCATGCCAAGGTTTTTATTTACATTCCGTAAGTTTTAGCACTACGTTAAAAAAATACTTTATACGACTAAGCCATGTATTCTTTTTACAGTTTTCGGAGCTACGATTTTAGTCGCCTTATTTATGGTGGCGCATGCACAGCCTGATACAACTGTGGGTACAGCAGGATGGCCACGTCCAACTCGCCCAACTCGCCCAACGCGACCAACGCGACCAACACGTCCAACGCGACCAACACGACCAACGCGACCAACACCACCAACACGTCCAACTCGCCCAACGCGACCAACGCGACCAACACGTCCAACTCGCCCAACCCGACCAACACCACCAACACGTCCCGTCCAACTCGCCCAACGCGACCAACGCGACCAACACGTCCAACTCGCCCAACCCGACCAACACCACCAACACGTCCAACTCGCCCAACGCGACCCACGCGACCAACACGACCAACTCGTCCGACGCGAGCCACGCGACCAACACGTCCAACTCGTCCAACGCGACCCACGCGACCAACACGTCCAACACGACCAACGCCAGTAACTCCTACATCCGTATAGGCCTGCACGACCCGCATTATTATTTTATCTTTAACACCGATTGGTCCCTCACTAACTTGAAGTGCTGTAACAAGCTCAAGGTTGGTCAGCGATCTTTCAAATGCAAACATCTATTAGGAAATGAAACATGGATAAACAATATTGACTAAAAGCTTTGGAAATGTCTAGTTTTAAAAAAATATTTCGAAAACAATATTAAAATTAATAAAATAAATTTGAAAATAATCAATTTGCAAACAAAAAATATACTAGAATTTATTGGCATTGTCTTGTTGGTAGCATAAGCACACGGTTGGAAAGCTCTTGGTAAACCTCAAACTCACCTATTTGGGAGGAAAAAGAGAGATATAATATCTGAATGATATTGCTATGCATTTTCCAAAAACATACTTTTAATATGAAAACCCAGCTGTGGAGCAAACTGTCTAAGTCAAAGAGTTATTCTGAGTAGTTCAAAATAGGACTACCTCGATTGGCATGATTCCCAAATATTCTAAAAGCTAGACGTCTTCGGCTACAACTTACAGAAACTGCTTACCGGCATATGAGTGAAAGACTTCGGAGTCGAACTAGACGCAGCTTGTTGTGTTCAGCTTGTTGTGTTCAGCTCTATAGATTAAATTGTGGTACTACTTATGGACCCCTTCGCAGCTGCTATAAGAACAGAAGTCCTTTCCTCTAAATCCACAGGATCAGCCTATTCGTATTTCAGCCTTTTTGTGGAGCCTTATTGTAAAGGAGTAAAATACTTTGATCTTTGCTCCTCAACAGACGACAGCTTAAAGTGATATAGAGCTGTACTTTTTTTCTCAAATGAATTAGACTCAGCATTCACACGGTATTCAGTTACGCTCTAGTTGTGCACGGACGAAGTATTGCTGCATAATACCTTGTAATTTCCAGGCAGTCCTGTCAGATCTGATTTCGAGTTCTTTCAGAATATTTGGCGGTTATGTTGACCAAGGGGAGAGTCTCAAGGTGAGCAGACTCTTCCCGAAACAGAAGGTCAGCTATTCATTTTCGGGGGGTTTAAGGACGCCAGGGAACTCTCAAAAAACTGAAATGAAAATTACATACTATTTTCCGAGTTTTACATTTAAAATAATATAATAAAAATTTATTGAAAATAAAATGAATATGAAAAAATTTGAATTGACGACACTCAGGATTAAGCATTGAAAGAGAGAATAAAAGAGCCCAGGAAATGGTATTTTATAAATTGCCACATAAGTTTGACTCCCGTAAATTTGAAGAGTCACGCGTATGAACGAAAACAGCGGCGACATCTGCTGGCGAATGTTATGATTGCTTCCCAGGGTTGCATGCATAAATATTAACAATATTTCAATTCACATTATTTTTATGTTAGATTCCACACTACACTCGTTAGACGCACTGGACACGATTTGAATGTTATAAAAGACTTTCGCGCAGATATCGATGAAAGATTTTCCAACATTTTCTTATCCACGAGAGAATTTATTAAACCTGTGTATAGAATGTGAACATATATCTAATTCCTGTCGGTGATCTCTACCTGCTATCCTTAGCATTTATTTCATAGTCTAACTAAGTGGTTCCACAGTCCTCTATACCTGTTGTTCTCGCGGTCGCTTCTGTAAGACAGAACCTCAGCCTGGAGACTAATCCCTTCAAAGAGAAAACAGAAAGGTTTGGCCTGTCGTTGTTTTGTCACAAACATGTGTTTTTCTCTGATAACGGTAATATCTTTATGCCATACTAGATTAACAAAACAACGGAAGAGAATCAGAGAGGTTTTCTAAAACTAAATTTGAATTCCAAGCTATAACCAATATAATTTATTAGTAACAGCTCCTATTGTGGGCTGCTGGAACTAATCAAACTGTGGCTAACCTAAAAGTGAACGGAAGCCTCATAACGGCTTTAAATTTTTGATGAGGCTTTTTTTTTACAGCCAGCCAATTGCGACAACCGGTGATCTACCAGTAGTGTCGAGAGCTTTCGGGAGCAGCGGGACTACTGCAGGTGTAGTGAAAGGTATAGTTCCTGGACGACTCGAAGTTAGTATGTCATACGAGCAGCAGACCTTGTTAAAGAGGGCGTTTAGAGACTGTCCTTTGGGCCTTACCTTTGTAAAACTGTTCGTTTCGAAAAAGCATTCAAGCATTTTCCAGCTAACCAATCAATAGTGGTGACCAAAGGTTATTGTTAAGAATCCCGAGAAGCGATATCCACGTAGTTAGCATTGGGTGCTGACACTCGGAAGGCCAAGTATCAAGTCCTTGTTCGAGCAACATGCAAAAATTATAAAAAAAAATGACTGCGGTCGCCCCTCGGCAGTGAATGTCAACCCCTCCGAGTATATTTCTGACATGAAATGAAGGCTCTTCATGAAAAAACATCAGCCGTTCAAAGGCGGCTTAGTATAAACTGTAGGCCTGTCCTGTTGTTGGGAAAACAACAAGATGCCAAACCACAAATTTGAGGAGGGGCTCGTCCGAAAATCGATTCAACGCTTACAAAGCGCCAACTAACAGGCAGTTTCTCTACTTTACTCATAATTACGATCCGTTGTTTATTTTTCTTCTTTATGCTTGGATCATTGAACTTTCTGAATGGGAGTTCTGTTACGAGCTTTAAGCTCGATTTTGAAGCTCATTGTTTTCATATGCAAATATTTATGGAAATTGCTTAAAAATATGTTGTTATATGGTTATTTGTATAAAAATAATATAAAATGCTGAGTAGTTTTCGTTTATCTTTTCATAGCTTGTCTGCAATGAAAAAAAAAAATTGTTTAAAAATATTTACCAATTCTGAAACCATTTTATTTTATTAAAACAAAGACTTATATGTATATGCAGTTGTTATTGTTGTATATCTGTAAAAAAAAATATATTTTTTTTAATACGCTAAGGTGTCTATAAGAATATTTAAGCATAAATACCACACCATGAGGACACATAACCTTAAAATTGTTAAATCTTCGAAATCGTTGTGGGTGCCAAACTGAGTATGAGATGAAATTTTTTATTAATCATTTGTTTAGAGGTAAGTAAAAAAAAAATATATATATATAAAATAAACATTAAACAAATACACCTTGACTTAGGAGTTTTCTTTGCCGGCCTTGCTTCGATCGGCGCGGATTGTCCCGGCGCATGTCGCATGAATGTGCCGAGTAAGGCTGTATGCATCGTACAAAATGAGCCGTCGCAATGTGTGAAGCTCAAAGAATGCACGCTGAACGAGTTGAACTGTGAACGTTGGCGGCAAAAAATACCGTGTAATTTGTTATTAAAAAAATATTATTGTTGTTTTCATTTTTAAAAACTTAAATACCCTTTCCAAAAAAAAAAAAAAACAAAAAAAAACAGTGCTCGGTAGAGTGAAACTGGAACGCTGTTCACTGATTCGTACACCCACTGGTAGTGGCGGTTGTGCTCCGCAACCGCCAAAATGTCCAAATACCAACTGCAGCCATGATAAGGTGATTCATTGTGTACAAGCTGCTGGCAAACAGTGTCGTCTGCTTACGAATTGTGAGACGCAACGCGATAATTGTAGTCGCCCTAAGAATAATCGTATGCAAAAATTTTGAATAATTTTCATTAAAGATTTTTAATTAATATATATATTTCTTTTTTTTTAGAGCTAACTCGTATTCGCGCCTCAGCTTGTAGAGGCATCAAACGCTCTGATGGCTTCAAGCCATGTGTTAAACAGAAGAAAAAGAAGAAGAAGAAGAGTACTATTAAAAAAGTGATTAGTGGCTGACAAGTGAAGAACTGGATTCATCAAAGCTTTTTATTAAAATCTTCAAATGAAAAATTTTATTGTAGAAATATTTTATGATTCATACATATATATGTAGTATAAATACATAAAATTTTGATACATACTGTGATCAAAACTAAAAACATTTCTTTGTTTTTTCCGGTAAATCCTTTTAGTCGGATAATGGTTTATTCTCGTAAAGCGAAGTAATAAAATTCACGATTCAAGAATTATAATAAAGTCATGACGTCATGAAGTAAGCCAACACTTCGTAGTCTCTAATAGTCAACCAACGGCTGGAAGACCACTCAAGTTTTATATTGAAAATAATTACATACAAACGTGGTCGCGCTAACCGAGTGGTTAGCACTGCGCACGGCCACTCGGAAGGTCGGGGTCGAAATCCTGAATCTTGAGACTATCAGATTTCTTTTTTGATGCACAAGCTCGGCCTTCTTGGTAGGAAAAAACTTTTGCTAAAGGTTTTTCCGCTCAATCCGCAAAAGGGCGATCCCACTGTTTGCGCCAATTATGGTTGGATAAACCTCCTTAATATCGAATATAGATATGTATTGTGTGAATCCGTATGGTATTATTGGAAACAATAGTATGGGCTGCAGTGCTGAATAGAGAAGGTGTAGTCTTCTTCGAACCTGCATTAATACGAAAAGCAATATCAGCATGGAAATTTAGAGCAGAACCACTCTTAGACTGAGTTGACACTTGAAAAGTTACTTACTCTCTCGACGAATATAGACCAAACTCTGCAAGTTCCGTACAGAGAAAAACCAGCGAGTATGCAAAAATTCTACTAAATACTAGTATTTTATAGACGGAATTATACCAGTTAGCTAATTGTACAGCAGTTCACCAGTAACGTGAATAATAATAATATCCACCACCGTTTGTTGTTGTTATATCGGCACACCACGGCTCTCTGCGCTGCTCCGCTCTGGTGAAGTGCGTATACTAGTGCTCATTGCGTCATGGTTACGATAGCCGAGTGGTTAGAGATTGTTGCTGCAGCATGTGAGGCCCCCGGGTCGAGCCTCATTGGAAAAATATTAATTAATTGTTTTTTATTCTTGGTGAAGCAGTTATTTTCACCGCCATTAATATGTTGTTGTTGTTTTTAGTACGCCACGACTGAGTTTCAGTTCCCAATAAGTTCTGTTGAACTGTGCAAATTTCGTTTCGTTGGTTAGAGGTCATCTGTGTGATGCGAGAGGTTCGCGGATCGATTCTCGCATCAGACAAAGACATTATTATTATTATTTTTATTTTTTTTGGTGAAGTATAAATTCAACATGCATAAATGAACTGGTATACAACTAGTTCAAAGCTGATACGGAATCGGATAATTGTCAGCTTGTAGCACACCGCCTTCCAAAAAATACCAGTTGCTTACATGGAATATAGTTAGAAGATGACTAAAGTATTTTTCTCTGAAGGGTCACACATCATTCCCGTACATTGATTTAGCTTAGCGAATTAAAGGACAGCGATGACGCTTGTTAAGCCATGTGGTCCGAATGGATAAGAATACTCTAGCAAGTTTTCGATGCAGTACAATTTTTACTTTGTTGGAAAGACCAGGTAGAGGTAGAACTGGCTGTACTTGGTATTTCTAAAGGAGGCATGAAGGACGCGCTGTTGTTAACTCGACTTTAATCCCATAAGCGGGGTCTAAGCTAGTAAAGAAAAAGAAGAATGGGCAAACGCTCAGTGGTCTCAATAACGTTAGCTTGTAAATGTGGCGAAATCCTCATCGCTACAATGAAGGCCTAATACTGTCCCCTTTAGCGTCTCCCTTTCACCACTCAATTAATTCAGTTCTTATGACGCTGGGAGCTGTATCCTTATTTAAATGAGAATTATGAGCAAAACGAGCTTCCATTTAAAAAGCTGCTACTATATTCTACATTCAGAAGACAATACCTGTAGTGTAGCATTAAAAGATTGGAGGAAAAAATTGCGGCATAATTTTATTTCTTGTTTTAATTTATTATATACATTTTTTTATATATTTTTATTTTTTTAATTTGAGTTTTATTACTTAAAATATTTAAATATTTTGCAAAAAAAAAAAGACACCACTAAAGCCATTTATGACTTGCTCATCATCTGGTCTTTCAATTTGTATTTCAAGAGCTTCAAAAGCGCTTTCAATACAGTCAGCCGAAAAGCTCACTCTGTTAAGCAAGGATTTTGTACTTCGAAAGATCGTGGAAGTTAGGATAGTAAATAGTCTGGTAACTTGGTTTGAAAGAATCTACTTTTTTTTTTTGAAAGTTCTATATATATATTCATTAAGACCATACCGTAAAAATTTTAGAAAAAAAGCCGAAATATTGACGAAGTTCCAGCACCTATATGCGAGCATCACGTAGTAGTAAGCGCTGAGCCGCAAGGTCATTCATACTCTAAAGGCGTTTTTCTCGAAACAGCGTTCTTTGGTGAGCCAGAAAGAAAAAACTGTTATCCAACCAATTGCGCTAAAATGTGTCCGCAGGAATCTTTTTTTCTGTAGCTAACCTTCCAAAACCTTGGAGAAAATTAATTTAAATAAAAAAATTAAGCTAAATTTTCAAAATGCAGTCGCCACTCGGCAGGCAAAAAACCATCAGCCATTCGGAGTCAGCTTATGGAAACTGCAGGTCCCTCCATTTATTGGAAAGACATCAAGGCGCACAACCACAAATTGTAGTAGGAGTTCGGCTGAAAATCACGGCAATTATATGCATTATATAACCTCGCGCTTCTCATCCTGATTTCCACTTAAAAAGAATCCTTTTTTTCGTAGTCAACCATCGATCTCAGCATTCCAATAATCATGCCGACTAAAAGCATGAAGTATTTTATATTTTAATATTTTACACACACACACATATATTAAGTTTGTGCAACCATTTCCCAGCCGAAATTTGCTTTTTTAACTGAAAATTTCGTCAGCCGAACCAGACAACTTGCAAATGATTGTGATACTCTGATTACGAGTGTGTGATATGTGTGTGTGCCTCCATTATTATTAATTTTTTTTTTCTTTTCGTTTTTTTTTTTTCAATTGACACCATTTCGCGGACACAGCAATAAATTTAAAATCAGTGGCAATAAATTTAAATGTCATTGCATTAAATCGCAGTAAATTGCTGCCACCCCTGCGGAGACATACAAAAATTCATGTATGTATATATATATATATATATATATATATATAAACATGTATTTACTTGTGTGTATTCGCCGATTTTCATTGCGATGCACAGCTGCACTTCCGGTGTTCTGGTATTCAACGTGCAACAACACGTTCGTAACATCGGACAGTATCCGTGACGTGTTGAACAGTAAATAGAGTCAATGCGAAACGGAATTTGTGCTACAGGCACACACATAGGTATGTATGGCTTAAGTTTGAATACCTGAACATATGTACATATGTATGTATGTATGAGTGAGTACTAGTCTGTTCTTAACTCACTCAATCCACGTACAGCGCTCAAATGATGTTAAAGTGAGGAATTGTTGTTAGTTGTTATCCTTTAAGTGTGAGCGCCAGAAAGTGGACAATAAATTGTGGAAAGTAAATATACTAAATCGTTTAAGTAACATTACACTGGACGCATGCTACTGAGCAGCTGCGGAGTGACGGGTTCTTCAATAAATTGGACACGAGTTTATCTGTTAACTTTCTAGTGTAAGACATGAGAAATATAATGCTGATTTTTCTAGAATATTATTAGTTTTCAAGGTCATGGTGCTGCCTTTCTATTTATATAAACTAAACTATTTCACATGTAAGTCAATTTGTAGAAAGAGCAACCAGTTACGTTTATATTGTGTGTAGTTCAAGCAGCTCAAGCCCGACGGTTTGCTGGGTAGCCAAAAGCGCACTAAAATCTGATGAAGAACTTCTCTGCCGGTTCTGCGTAAGCAATGAAGATCGTGCCATTTAATTCGGCTGAGGTCATTCATTCGGAAGATCAGAGCTCTAGCCCTGAGTCTACCCATATTGAAAATTATAAAAAAAAATATATTTTCTAACTGCGGTGGTCCCTCGGCAGGGAATGTCAAGCTATCCGGTTGTATTTTTGGAAATAAAAGCTCCTCAGAAAAAACATTATCCGTTCGGAGGTTTCTCAGAATAAACTGTAGGTCCCTCCATATATTGAAAAGACCTCAAGACACCACAAACTAGAGGACCATCTCGGCCAAAATTCGCTTCAGCGCTTAATAGGTTTCACTTGACCAGCTGAGTGATGTCCTTGTGAAAATTTATGCTGACATAGCTGCCTTCCAAGAAGTGCGGTTGACAGAACAAGAACGGAAAGTGGTGGGATCTGGTGATACATTATACAGTGGCCGTATAATTGAGCCTAAATTTGGTATTCGATTTATAGTGGAACACAGCTTTTATCTCCGCCTATGACTTCGGGCTGTTAACTTAACCACAATGACTCCAAAGTCTAGCCCACGTCACAAAGCATCTCAAAAAATGGCTCTTTTTGCGTTAGGTCCGAGCAAAGTAAATGCATCAAGTTGCATGCTATACAAGTCTATCCTATCATATTGTGATAGAAGAAAAGCAAGACGTCAGTTTTCTATATGTGGCTTAACATCGATCCAGACCACTACTTTGCCACGGAAAATATATGAACCTGACTCTTTCTAAATTAACCGTTCTACCTCGAAGACTTACGATCACAACAAGCAGCTAGAAGGAGTCAGTCCCCTGCTCGGGAATGTCATTCTAAGCTCACTAGAGACCAAAGCCAGAGAAATAATTGCTTTCGACAATGTCAGATAAAGAACTGCAGTGGAGATTAAACAGATAACCTACAGAGCTACTTTGCGATCACCAAGTGTGTGGTGAAATGGATAGCGAGGACGGTAGAGGGAAGTAACACGCATTGGCAGACAAAAACAATATGCCGAAATACATGAATTTGAAGAACTAATCGATGATGATGATGAAAGTAATGCTTGAAAAATCGGTCTGATGAATAACAGTG